AGCAATGCCGAGTTTACACTGCAATATGAAAAACTCAAACGTGACATCATGTGTTTCTCCTTTTTTACTCATGAGATTCTCCATTGGCTCAGTTGTGAAGCCAAAGGAGGACTTCTCTGCCAGCTCTTAATTCCGGGTGGGATCAGGGTCCTTATGTCACTACAGATTCCGCAGTGGAGACCTAGCCGATAAATCTGCTGATGAGACACGAGCCCCCCGAATCCTTCTCCCTGCTGGTTCCGCGGGGCAAGCAGGCAAATCTTTGCGTCAGTGACGTGGCGCGGTATGCAGCCAGGCAGCAAACGAGATGAGCAAGAAGGCATCCCTTTTGCAAACTTGCCCCCTAAGCCCTGAATTCCATCCCTAACTCTGAATTTCCTGAAAGGGAAGGGGAGGGGGGGAGGATCCTGAGAACATGTTTAAGGCGGCCAACACCCTCCTGCATCTGCAGAGGTGAACTCATGCGGGACTCCTGCCATGACAGAATCCAGGGAATTGTGGGACCCTCTGGCCATTCCACTGCAGAAGGGGAGTCACTACAAGAACAGCCATGGAGATCTTCTGCTGTCATTCTCTGGCACGGGGAAGAATTCCTCCTCCCACAAGCACCCAGTGGATCTTACCAGGGCACAGACTCATTACTGGAGCAGTGCTCTGGGGACAGGACTTGCCCCTTCTGGCCTACATGCTTTCAGCTGATAAAACTAAGCTGTTTTTCGGCTGAGGAAGGCCAGAAACTATTAACTTTCTTTGGTTTTGCACTCTCAGGGTTTCAAACTTGTAATACAATTTCCTCCCCAATTCCCTGAAGCTTTGAGTGCCACGTGTCAGCCTTGGAGAGAAGTTTTACAGCCACACAGACAGGCTGAGGCACCCGGAAAGAGGGGTTTATAATGAGAACGCTTACAGGCCATTAAGTACAGCAACGAGAGGTCATCGCTATAAGAGCTTTACATAAAAATAGGCAGCTGCAAATTATTTTTAGAGATGAGCGGGTGCTAGTAGCAAGGACTGCCTGTAAAATCCAAGGGGACGTGTGATTTGGGGTTGGGTGAGAAGGGGCGAGGCAGCAAAAACGACTAATAAAGGTGAATCTATCTAGTAGAGGGGCAGAGAGGTGGTTTTCTAGATAAGGCAAATGAGAAGATTTTATCTCCTGGGCACATATCAATATACAGCAGGCGACATTCCAGGCTGGCATCTCGCCTGCTGTGTTTCTTTTTCTAGAGAGCAGGTCTGGAAACCTGCTTCGGCATTTGCCACGTTACTGTGACCCTCAGTGAGTAGCGCCTCTTCGGTATATGACCGGCCTGGTCTGAGTTCCGTTTGTCACTGCGCTGGAGTCTGTGGCCCTCATCTGCTCGGGCTCACGTGACCCTCAATGAGAAAAATACCAGCAAAGGCTCCTCCCTCTCGCAGGCCACTCCCACTTCGGTTTGGGTGCCGCCTGTGCTCTCGTCCACTGTACCCCAATGCAGAGCATCCGACAGTGGCCCCAGCACAACCTGTCATTTCTTTTTGCCCGAAACTTTCCTGAGTTCTGTACCCACAGAGGTTGCGCCTTTCCAGCAGTAAATGTCTCCTCCCGAATGGCTATCGAGTGCCAGATAAAACACTGTAAAGTGGTCCCTGACATTCCACTCTACCTCTCCCCTTCTCCCAATTGACTCTTTTGGGGAAGGAAATGGGGGGACTGGCTAGGAGAGCTGTGCATTCAGTTTTTGCCTACATCAAAACAACATATTAAATAAGACCATCTTGCTATTTGGTCTCCTTTTTATTTTTTAGGCCGTTTCCTGGAGCCAAAATAATGCAAAATCTGGTATTCCGTTGAGAGCGATGCCCTCCAGAAACTGATTTACTTGCTACAACCATTCCTGTGGGCCGGGCAGTCCCTCACAAGTGCGCAGACCTGAAATAGAGGGATACATGAAGTAGGACCACACTGGTAGGAGACCCCCCTCTCCTGCTCACTGCCTTGCTTTTCCGTTTTTCCTCTGTCGCTTTGCTTTGTTTCAGAAGCAGCCCTCCCCCCTTTGACCCGGTAAGTCTTACTTCTCTGGCACATAGGTCCTCGATAGCCCGGTGCACACTCGCAAGTCCCATCCTCTGGTGAGCAGGAGCCCCCGTTCTCACAGTTACAAGAGATGGAGCAGTTTGGTCCCCAGCGGCCCTGTGGGCACACGTTATCACAGTGGATACCTACAGAATGCAAACGCACACATTAGCTTTCAGCACAGCTCCTTCCATTCACTGATAAAACAGATGCCCAGGTAGGTTGCTAACTTATAGCGCATTAGAGCAAACCAGGGAGCCTGGCTAGAAAAAGACTATTCTGTTACCTGTCTGAAAGACTGAATGTTCAAAAGGCACATCGGTGAATCCAGCTCAGGGCTCAGCACCATGCAGGATGTCCACCCGGCAGCTGGAGCAAGCCGTCCAACCCAAGTAGACAGATTCATACTTGCGGAGCTGGAGCTAGTGTGCTAAAAAGAGCAGCATGGATGTGGCTGCTTGGGCTCTCTGGCGAGCCCAGGGCTATGTCTACGCTGGGAAGGTTTGGCGACAAAAATGCTGTCGACATGCAAAAGTCGCCTCAAGTGAAAACCGATCTCACTGGATTTTCTGCCTCCTGTTGTTGATATTTCATGACCATGTTGCTAGCAGATAGAGCAAAGCCATGTGGGGGAGCATCCCACAATGCAGTGTTGTGGGAAGGCAGAGCTGATCCCTGCACTTCTTGGGATTCCCTCAGAGCTCTGTGAGCACTCCGTGCTGAGCAGCACAGCCATCTCTCCAGCCCTCCCCGGCAGCAGCAAGTCTGCCTGCCCCTGTGTTCCTAGCAGGGCAGAACAGAAGCATTCCAAGGATTTGTTCCTTGTTCCCCAAAAGGAGATGCTCACTCAGCTGTCAGATACTTTCTGGAGCTTTGAAAGGGAAGGGGCACAGGCCTACAAGGCAGCAGAGATCACAAAACACTGAGCAGAGCCATCAGGGCAGGCATTCTGGGATACTAGTTCTCTTGACAAAACAAACAGCTGAGTCCACATCAGCTCTTTGTTGACAATAAAGGGAATAGGAAAAGACAAAACTCTAGCAGGGGTGGAAATTTTTTGCTGGCAAAACTGGGTGTTTTTCCCAACAAAGGTCTCATTTGCAGTGTAAACGTTCTCACTGTTTTGTCGCCAAATGGCAGTTTCTGGCAACAACATAGACAAGCCCAAGTTGCACTTGCAGCCCAAACCACAACATCCTCACTGCTATTTTAAGCAAGTCTGTCTGTCTGGGCTGGAGCCTTGCTCCTAGCTGCAGTGAAGACACGCCTTACTTATCTTTGGTGGGATCCAGGATTAACAGTTGTTAAAGATCACCCAGTATCTCAAATAATAGGTCTTGAAATAAAGAGTCAGTTGAAATCTGGTCACAGAACCATTGCTGAGAAATAGAAGATTGAAAAAGAAAACTAATCATAGCTCCGTGAAAATACGTTAGTTCAAAAATTCCCCACTGTACTTAGATTCAATTATATCCAGTATATTTGTCATTTTCTGTCCTAAACCGCTGTGTCGTGTCTTTATTATTGCACAGCTGCCATATTTCACCCCAGAGCTTGCTGTATTTGCAGTAGAGGGTTTGTATGTTAATACATTAATGTCCTGATTCTCCAAGCAACAACATGTGGGCAGGAGTTTGCGGGCACACAATCTGACATGTAAACAAGTGGAGACCGAGAATCGCAAATCCAGCCCTAAATTACTCCCACGGCAATTGTGTGACATTTATTTTTATGACAATCAAAACTTCAAAGGTGCAGAAAAATCCAGCCAGGGGACTTAAAAGCTGCATTTGTCTAGTATTGTTTTCACTGGTGACATTTAAACGCAAGCTTGTGCTATGTCTCTGTAGACACCTGAATTAAACTAAGGAGTCGACCCTGCCAACCCTTACCCACCCGAGGAACCCTTACTCATGCGAGTAAGACCATGGAGCCCAATGAGGATCCATTACTGAAATCAACAGAACTACTTGCATAATTAAATGCTCCTCAGGTGAGTAAAAGTAGCTGGATTGGGAAAGGAGACATAAAGAGCTGCCAGCAGCGGGAAGTGGTATTAGCTTTGGCACATTGTAGATACTGATGTAAAAAAATATCTGTTTGCTTAAACATTCTCCTAACAGTATTACCACACCAGGTGCTTTACAACCGCGGCACTAAGATTGGATGGCATACGCATGCCCTTGCTACTTTTTCAACGTGAAGAAGTTCTTTATCATCCATGCACATGTTCCCACTGCATAATGGGATAAATACAGACAAAGATGCATAAGATCCAGCCTCAGCCAGAGGCTGGATTAATGCACTACTAAGGATAAATACAATTCCCAAGTAATTTCCTCCGCCTCTGATATCTTCATCTGGATGCTACAGGTAATGCACTGTATTTGTGAAGCTGCAATCTGTACAGTCACCCAACTTTGAGGATTAGGGAATCAGCTAAAAGTCATTATAAACACACTTACAGTGCAGTTTCAAGTTCATTTGATACAGCTCTGAAGTTAATACATTGAGAAATACCACAGAGCCAAAGTTTCCTTTTTCTGAAGATTTAATCATGCGATTATGATGAAAATCTTCCTTGAAAATCTTAACTCAAGTTGTCAGGGGTGGAAAGTTAAAAGTTCATCTTAAAAAAAGGATTTCTAATAATATATAATAATTTATAAGCTTTATTTAAAGAGCCACAACCAAGACTGCCCAACTTAAAACACAACCAAAAATATTAAGATACATTATAAACCATACTAAAAGCTCAACCCTGTAGCATTTCAATACACAAAACCAAACAAAAGGGGTTCGAAACATAGACAATGGATTTCAATAGGGGAATTTATACGAGCTAAGTAATGCCAGAGAAAGCTGCAGTCATAACAAAAGTACCTCTGAAATAAAATAAATCTTTTGGCTTGTTTAGGTTATACACACACCCACACAGTCATGTGTGTACGTGTGTGTGTGTGTGTGTGTGTGTGTGTGTGTGTGTGTGTGTGTAAGAGAGAGAAGTATATAATGCATGATAAAATGAAGTATACATTTTATAGATACGCACATATACATGTTTATTATTTATACTTTTAAATGCCCCCATTTGAGGTCCCACAATTAAACCCTGGACACACATTTAGCAGGATGGGTGTATTTTCCTCCTGGCTGGCAGTATTAAAAACACAATTTCCCTGCTGTGGAGGGGCTATTTATAAATGGAGACAATTAAGCAGCCTTATTTCTGGTGCCTTTTCCCAAAGTTTGAGAGAGAATGACATTGACTCCTCTCCTTTAAAAGTAGCTGAATTAGAATGCCATAGATATTCTTTGCAGCAGAAAAGACTCTGCCTAAGTAATGAATAATGAGGGATGTCTTCTTCCTTCCTTCCCCAGGCAATGAGTCATTGTGAGGCTGATTGTTCTAACAAAATGTAGAAGGGGAAAAAAGAAACCTTTGTATGAGACACATCCCACACATTACACCTCTTATTTATTAATATTCAAAAGACCATTGAAGAGATTCTGCTATCCTCCTTCACAGAACCCTCTTTGTATTATTTTTACATCAATTCTTCCGGAAGACTTCTCTTTTGGAGGCTCAAAAATAATACCCACCTCACATAACAAGTGAAAGCAAGCTGTGAAATTTGCACCCGGGTATGTGCATTGTATAGAATTTTGCTGAAGAAGCACCTTCGTTTACACTTTCCCTAATTTGACATAATATTAAGGTTGAGTATACCACGCCTAGCTTCTTTACAATCAGAGTTACTGGAGCATGAAGCTTCCTTAATGCAAAACTTTAATCTTCACTCAGAAACTTGCAGATAAACGGTTTTGATAAGCAATTAGTGTTCAATACGTAATTCCAAGAAATACAAAAAATGCTGAATTTCATACATTTCAGCATCATTTTAACCTGCAGCCATAGGTTCGTGATTTATGAACAAATGCCTCATTTTGTATGCATTATGCACAAATTAGGAAGACAACCACCATAAGAATACATTCACAAAGCTGCAGGAGGCAGTTCTGCTCTTAAACCCCATTTCCTTACTGCACCGGGTCCCTGTTGCAATTGCTGATGTGAGAATAAAATCACGCTTCCCTGGTGTCACACCAAGAGCTTCGCAAACAATCATCGCGAGTGAAATTCATGGTCACTTACATAAAGCCAGAATTGTCAGCTATAAGTGAGCAAAAGACACAGGTGCTGGGAGACAGCACTATGGGGCCACGGCAAGTTTTCTGATCCCAGCCCTTAAACCAGCTTGCAAAATGGAGTGCCACTGAGGTATGGAAAAACAACAAGGAGTCCTGTGGCACCTCAGAGGGAAACAGATTGATTAGTGCATAAACTTTTGTTGGTAAAACCCACTTCATTGAATGAACTGGAGTGGACGTTACAGAGGCAAAGGTGTATATAAGAACAACAAATGAAAGAAGTTACTTGGGCCAGGTCTACACTAAAAGGGAATGTCCACTCAGATATGCAACTCCGGCTATGTTAATTATGTAGCTGAAATCAATGTACCTTGCTTCGCGTTCCCCCGCAGAAGCGGGAGAACTGGATGCTGATGGGGGGGCTCTCTGAGTTTGATTTAGTGAGTCTTAACTAGACTCACTAAATTGAATTCCAGATGATCAATCGCAGCAGCGTTGATCTTCCATTTAGTGAAGATGTGGCCTTGGAGTGTTTAGGGTCACTGGACTGCCTAGCCACTGATCCCAACACCTAATGGTTGCATTAGAGTTGGCTGACTGTATATGCAGCCTTGTATGGCCACACTCCCAGTAGCTAGGCCCAAACACATATTCCTCATGGCCTACAGAGCGCCTTGTATAGTCATTTCCACCCAATAAACAAACTTCTCAACAGACATGGAACCAAGTGTGTGAAATGCTGGTTTTCAGGTTCTATTCTCTTAAAGGGGAATCTGGAGACAATTTATTCTGAGCATAAAAGGTTAAGTATGAGTGCTCTTATGTGGCGCAGCCTCAGGGTGGTTACGTGCACCCCGTCTCCCCGCAAGGTTAGGGCACTTGAATTCTGACTGGCAAAACTTCTGCCCAGGCTTCCAACAGAGTGAAATGGGGAACATGCTTCTTGGGCAGCATGGTGAGGTCATCTTACTCTCTGCAGTTGGGTGAATTTGAA